TCATTTGTTACTGTAGTATGCACCTGACGAGATACAGCGAAATATGCCAGGCAATAAATTGTGCAGTCCATTGTTTGTGTCTTCTTTGTTCAAATTCACATCGGGGAAACATTGCTTTGATTATTAGAATAGTCAAAACAATTTATTATTTCCGTTAAAAAAAAAAAAAAAAACAACACAAGATTTTGTAATTAAATTACTTTTATTTTAATTTTAATGAGCCACATAGTAATACTTTATACCAATTTATTCAAAATGTTACATTAGTTTCTATATATATTTTTTTTTTAAAATCACCAGTTTCCAAATGGTTACTTAGAGACATAAATATGTAAAATATTTTGTTATGAAAATTTTCGACCATACCAGAGTCCAAGCATTTAGATAAAACAACAAAAGTAATTAAGATACTGGTTTGGGAAAAAAACGTTAATAGCAAAAGCAAAAAATAATAAAGACACTATCTGAAAATGCACACTCAAGGATAAGATATGGTTGAATAATATGGATTGGATTCATGCAAGCAACACTTAGTAAAATTATTACAGTGCAGGTTACTGAGAGGGATAAAATGTCTTTAAATAGCATGTCTTCTGTATATTAAAAACACACAAAAAGACATGCAATGTCAATATAACAGACTATGTCTATTTTTTTTTTCCCTGGTTACTTGTAAACTTGAAATGGATACTTCTCAGGAAATGGTTATTTAAACTATCTTTAGTTATCTTAACTATTCAAAAAAAACACAACTATTTTTAAGCCTGATATTCCATTCAAGCTTCTTCTTCTTCTTCTTCTTCTTCTTCTTCTTCTTCTTCTTCTTCTTCTTCTTCTTCTTCTTCTTCTTCTTCTTCTTCTCCTTCTTCTTCTTCTTCTTCTTCTTCTTCTTCTTCTTCTTCTTCTTCTTCTTCTTCTTCTTCTTCTTCTTCTTCTTCTTCTCTTCCACCGTGTACCTCATCGAAGTGTCGGGGGGAGATGTAATGTTCGTTGATGAGCTCTGTCTAGAGCACTATTAAGACTGATGTTCATTTCTGTAAGGCTGTTCTTAATGCCATCACTCCATGTTTTCTGAGGTCTTCCACTCGCTCTATACCCGTTGTAACGTTTTAGTGTGGCTCGCTGTGGCGGATAGTACCAGGGCATTCTTCCAGTCAAGCTGACAGTAACAAATCATCAGGTTTTGATGACGTTAACATTATATTCATTCGAAAATAAAGTATAGTAGAAGAAGACTACTCTTCTGAATAATGTGTTTGTATGAGGGAAACACATGGAGAAGAGAGCTGGAGAATGAGGTTAGAAAGATTATGAGGACATGGGGAGAGCTCCATGCAATGGCAAAGGATAGAACGACTTGGCGTGAGTTGGTTGAGGGCCTATGCTCCTTTGGGGGATAGAAAGGCAGAAGATGGGGGGGGGGGGGGGGGGGGGGTGGGGGGGGGGGGGGGGGGATTGAAACCGCAGATACATTTTACTTATTCTTTAAAAGCTTTCACTTCCGACACACAGAAGTTATCACAAATCAAATTTGTGGACGTAATGAAAACCTATTTGAAATACATATTTAACCTAAATGTGTGGTAATTATAAAATATTAATTACGTGACAGATTTATAACTCAGTTAATTTGCATTTAGAAGAGATTTAAAAATGTTTTTAAACATTTGAATTATTTGGCAACATATTAGTATTCAGAGTTTATAAAAAAGAATCATTTAATAAAAGCAGTTTATAATATTTAGCGAAACAATAATTGGCACACACAGGGGCTTAAATTCTAGATATGGTGCAAATACATGCAAGCAGGGGTAGACACGTAATTATGTAATAACTTGCAATAATATTATAATAAGAGGACATGAACAAAAAATATGATAGCTTAGAAGTGGGTGTTAAAAAAAACAGTCAAACATACTTAAGGGACTGGCAGCTTACCATACATGTGGGGGGAAAGGGGGGGGGGGGGATAGGTAAATCAGCTAAATCAACAAAATTTTAAGGCTGTTAAATTTTAAGTCACATTTGTTAAGGTAAATTTAGGGAAATTAAGAAAATTAATTGTTTTGAAATTCCATGCTGATGCCAAAACTGAAGTATATCAATTTTGTTAAAGTTCACACATGATTAATTAACTTGAAACAAATAAATCTGTAAAATATAACCTTTTATCAATATTATAAGAACATTGTTCTAGGTCAAATGTTAACTAATCACTGTAACATTACTTCAACAGATGCGTGTAAACATTACGGTAAAAATTACCATGGTCCCCACATGATTCAATATGGCGCTCATTTCGAATGTGTACAGTAAAAGCTTCGAGATAAAGAACACAAAACACAAGACAAAGATGTCAACTCTAAAACAAGATGAGCATCTTTGTTACAAATTGAGCAAAGCTTGCAGAAAAACAGCAAAATTAATAATACAACATTTCAGTGGTTCCATGAATAATTACGGCTGCCATGATAATGGAGCATAATCAGTTGTGTCCACAATAAATAGGTACACATTATATGGATATTTTCATGTGATGTTTATATCCTCCTGAATCTACTTTGCTTGTTTATGTTTTTTATATATATTTACTTTCTTTGATCTGTAAGGCAGTACTACACAAACAACAGTAAGCCATGATAAGTAGCCATGTCTCACATGCAAATTTTAATAAATTGCGTGTCGAGGAAATAAACAATTACGGCAGAGAAATATCGAACAGCAAATTTTTGAATTCTTACAAATGATCAGAACTATACTGATTCTATGTTGCATCTTAAGTGAAAATCTTTGTTGTAAAAAATTAATAGTAAAATATTCTCCAGATATTTGTGTATATTTGGTGTCAAATATCATCACTATTTACTAATAAGTTAACTCCTATTTCACCATAAGCCGCTATATATATATATATATATATATATATATATATATATATATATATATATATATATATATATATATATATATATATATATAGCTGATAGTTTGTGTCAAAAAATGGCAGTTTATGGTGGCTATTATTTCAGAAACTTTCAACGTAAGTCTGTACTTTCCATCAAACTGTGACTATTAATTTGCCAGCGTCATTAGCAATCAACAACTTAAACATTTGCTATCAAGTGTTGTAGGAAAGAGTTGTTGGTGATGGACTGCTCAGCGGATGGTACTAGTTATTTACTAATTGTAAGCTCGCAATGTTGTTAATGTTATCAATCCATATTCTTGTTGGTTGGCCTCATAGTTTCATATCAAATCGGAGGTGAAGCACCTGTGCTTCTGACTACTGCTGGCCCATGCAAATGAAATGGCCAAATCATTTTTTTACCTTCTCTTTCTTGATGCATTTTGCACAAAGTGCTGTTTCCATGATATATCAGGTATGATTATTTCTCACCTAAACTCGGATGGTTAACTTCATAACTTTCCTTAGGAATCCCATTTCAGAATTATTTAGACCACAATTCGGTACTGGCAGAGCAGAGTTAGAATCACTTAATTCTTTTCTGATGGTATGCAATGCTATGTAGTACCAGCATCTTTATATGGCAACCCTTTTTTTTTTAGCCCAACGAAAAAGATAGTGTGGTTCATAACGTCCCCTTATGACACCCCTTGTGGTGATTACTGGCATCTTTTTTGCTATAAAAAAATCAATGGCTGGCATGACACGCTTTGTATAATCTGTGTCTTCTATAATTATGTGTCTATTCTAGCCTATGATTTCTTTAAGGGAATGAGGATCCCCATAAACATGAACATAAAACCTTCGTAAACATATTTAAAGACATGACCTTATTTGCTGTTAGATTTTGCATTCTATAACAGACAATCTAGCATGCCTCCTAATTTAGTTTTTAAAATGATTTAATTAAAAAAAAATACTTTTATTTTAGGAAATATTTTTGTCTACACTTCTGCTGCTGAATACTTAAAACATTTTTCATGTGGGCGTTTCCATGGCAAAGAAGTCATGTTGTTTGCCTTCGACCCTGAAGGTCATGTGTTTGTTTCATAGCTGTGTTTTTCAGTTCATGAGTGCCATTTTACTGAGACTCCTGGGGATCGTCGCCAGAGCTATGGTGTTCATGCTTTGTGTGATGCTCTTGGAAGGCGGCTAGCCAATCTGCAGAAAGAGGCTGAGCCATATGGGATAAAACCCAGTGCAATGAAGTCAATCATATAAACTTTAACCTGTAAACTGTGAACTTGTAAACATCTAGACAGTCACTGTTGTAGGATACCATTATGATTAAGTGAAAACATGCAAAATAACAAGTAACAAGTAATATAATGTGAAAATGTTGGAAAGCTTTTCAGCATCAGAACACACAAGTAATGGCTATCCGTTAAACATGAGCATGCAGTCATAATTGTGTCTGTTGCCAGCAATACTGAACATATTTCTCTGAATTATCCTCACATAAACTAACATCTGCTATTATAGACAAGCATTATCTGCAATAACAAGATCATTCAAATGTGTGTGTGTGTATATATAAAAATATATATATATATATATGTGTATATGACAGTCGCCATGGCGTAGGGCCTGGATGCTCGCCGTCTGTTTGTAATTATAAGTATTGTTTATTTATCTCGAAATTTTAATAAAATTCTATGCTATTTGTTGCCAGGTAGCATTTCTGTAGGTGAGCTAAGATATCCATTAATGTAAATTTGTGCAAACACTCTCTTTATTCCGCACGGTAGGGCACTACACAAGACACATTCTCAGGTTAAAACTAAACTGTAAAATGGCAACAACCGACAACTAAATGCAATAAATGTTCTTGAACTTCAGGTATAAATATTCAAATAGCAGCCAAATAGTTACAAGCATGTGCAGTTGACAAAGAAAATGGACAAATACGAGTAATACAAAAATATGTGCAGCATACAATATGATTCACAACTTAAAATATGTTTATAAATATTGATAGCATGAATAATAATTCAGTCAGCTCTGATTTCCATCAAACACGTTGCAGTGTAAAAAGTTACATCTTCGGGCCTGCCAAAACTTTGTTGATAAAATCTGGAAAGTATTGAAAAGTTATAAATAAATATTTAAAAAAAAAAGACACAAACAATTATTCAACAACAGCAGCAACAAAAAGAACAAACTGTTAAATAGCAGGTTTACCTGCATAATTTGTGTCAGTGTCAGACCTGACATCATGCCCTGGGATACATTCTCACCCAGGAGAGGAGATACTTGGGTGTTGCTGTAGACATTAAACTCTATCTACTCAGCTGCTTATGGGTAAACAAAAGTCAAGGTCTAAACAGGAGGCTGACCTGGATTTTGAAAGCAGACGACACCATTGACGATTGTACTGAGTTTGCTCAGTGCAGAATGGATAGAAACACCAGCAACTTGCAGGTGTACAGTCAGGCAATAATCACTCTGGTCAGGTATTGCAGACAAGGAAGTCAAACAGTTGCTGATGCTGAAATACGGGCACTAATCCATTATCATATTTGATTAGGGGATATCCGAAGTAGCTCAGCACAGTGCGCGGGCTCCGTAGCAGTGGCGAAGATCCCGAAATATTGTGGGTAATTTTTTAACTCACTATTTCGTCCGGGCAGTGCCGTTAGTCTACTCTTTTAGATTTCCAACTGCCAGGTTTTTTTTAAACGTGTGCAACAATACACTCGGGCGTCTGATCTCACCACCCAGAGACCAGGGAGAATTACTAGAAGTCCACGTGAATATAAAAAAATCCTAGCCGTCCCCGGGGCTCAAACCCCGGACCTCTAGCACTTGGGGCAGACACCTATCTCAAGAACACGCAGCCCAACTGTGACTCTGAGATGGCTGCTGTATCTGAGGTCAAAGCTCAAATGGGTCGGACCGATGTGTTAGGATGTCGATACCCATAACGAGTAACACTCAAGAGAAGAAGGTGACACGGGAAGTGAAATGCTTCAGAAGATCCGTCAGTCTAACTAGAAGACACAGACTAAAAAACAAATGGTGCAAGAAACAGTAGGTCCAAAGGCTTGCACAGGTCACACAGAGAAACAGTAGGTCCAAAGGCTTGCACAGGTCACACAGAGAAACATCAAATAAAGTGGTTGTCGTCATTTAACGAAAATAGAAACTGCAAAACCACCCCTGGCTGCTTACAACTGCAGAGGATCAGATCAGTTGAGCATGAGGAAAATCAAGCACCAAAAATATTGGCACTATCAACAATTTTATTGCAACAGTAGACATTTCTTTTAGCCAATGCAACATTTCTGTCAAAGCAACACGTCTGTCAAGTTCTGAAGACGCCCAAAATATGTACACTGGTTTAATAATGTATTCAAAACTCTGAAGACTCCAGACCAATATGACAAGAAGAAGAGTTTTGTACGCCTTCAGCTGTATTGAGAACAGACTAGACCTATATTTTATAGACCAATCAGCACTTGGTGAGAGATGTGGTCAACTTCACGCCGGCCACTTTTAAGTCTAAGGACTTTCTAGGACCTGATACATATTTAATGTTTGGTAGACCCAAAAACAAATTAACTCCGGCTCTATCAGGACCCTAACTCACGGCCTTTTGATCGGCAAGCAAGCATCTAGTCGCTACACCACATCGCACCTCATATATAAAAAACAAAATAGGACTTGAATGTTTTAATTTTTCTTCTTCCTCAAGTATTTATCTTCCAGTGGAGCATTGCCCCCCACCCCCCCCCCACCCCCAACCTCCCCCTCCCCCACCCCACCATGTACATAGATGGTGTAGATTATGTTGTTTAAGTTGTAATACCATGAGTTTGCAATCCTTATGCAAAACATCATTAGTAATTACAGCATCAAAGTAAATTATGTAACAGATGAGCACACAGCTACAGTAGGTGAATAAGGATGTATGTTCAAAAAAAAAAAGGAAAGAGTTTGTTTGAAGAAAGTATTGATTGTTTAAATAAGGAAATGTATGTTGAAAAGAAGTAAAGTTTATGCTTAAAAGACTGTTGTGTATGTTAATAAGAAGTTAAAGTGTTTGTTTAGAAGAAACTAGTATGTGTTAATAGGAAGAAAGTGTAGCATCTTTTTCTTTTCTTTTTCATGCCAACGTTTTCAGATAAAAAAGCCAAACGTCTCAATCACTGCTGAGGTGTGATCTTATCCACTGTTTCAGACAGCTTGATTACCATCAGAATACCAACTGGCCAGACCTGTGAACTGTCTATTGCATATAGAGGACATGCCTGAAGCTCTAGCTCGGTAATCTGGGGTGTCCACATAGGCACAGCACTGAGTCCTCAATCTTGAAAAGCGTGTACATATGGCTGTAGGGTTATGTTGTGCCCGTTGTGAACTCTAAACGTCATGGTCTGTTCATTTCGTGTGAGGAATTGATAGGATCGTCAGGATTGTGTTCTGGAGGATGGGAAATGTTCAACTAGGATGTTATGGCTGACTGTGTGTGGCTTTTACTTCCTCAAATATGCACCCTGCATTTGGCTGTTCTAAACTGACCCAATTTTGTTGAGTAGTCTGCTTGTGTATTTCCCAGCACTATCCTTACTTACATTTACTTAGTCGATCCCCCTCCACCTTGGGGTGTAGAAGTTTGCCATTGAGCTCGCTAGACTTCTCTATTGACAGTTTTCTTTTTGACTTTGTTCCATTCCAGTCCTCTGTCAGTCAGAGACTGTTGGATGCTGTCTTCCCAGCGGACTCCGGGTTGCCCTAGAGGTCTGGTTTCCTGACTCTTGGCCCCCGTCCCCCCCCCCTCCAATGGTGGTCGATTATTTCCTCTTTACCTTAAACTATGATTACAAGTTACCAGTGGGATCCACTGGGGAAATAATTATTTGTAGAAGAAAACAAAAAAGAAATTGTACCATCATATTTTACATTGCCTTCCAAGTCAATATAGATATCTGTCAGCTTGATGATTTCATCAACTTGTTCATCGCTCAGACGCTCTCCTGAGATTAAAAAATAAAGCTGTTCAATGTTTTAATCAGCAATAATGATGAGCCATAATTATCCAAGAAGAAAAGGAAGACAAAAGAAATATTCAGCAGTCTCCCATGAGGTCAGAACAAATGTTGCACATAAATTGCACATTTATTGTCTGGTATTGACTGAGTTAAAATTTTGTTTTCTTCAGTGTGGTGTTCTTACTGAAAACCAACTCATCTCTTTCTAGTCCCATTAATACTTATATATTTTCTGTAAGATTGTTATTGACATTATGGTGTATTGTGTCATCGCAATCGACTTTATTCCATATTTGGCATTTCTATGTGCAATCCTCTGAAGTAGCAGCCAGTCCGGTGTACCTCTGCGGATTTTCCCACAATTTAATTAGTTATAATGTCTCCTATCTTGACCACAAAGACAGGCTTCACCAGGTTTTACTCTCAGGTCATGAAATCGGGCTAGCCTCTGAGGCAAGACTCCACCCCGTCTAGACCACAGAGTAGTTTTGATATTTTACACAGCGTGTTTCATAAGTGCCTGCAGACCCAATGTGTTTATACTCACAGCATCAGAGTTTTATAGTTACATTTATTCAATCACTGTGGAAGCATATATAGAACTTCCTGTAGCTATGTCCCCGCTTCTGTCCATGTATGATGGTGTACTACTGGTCAGTTTGTTAGCTCCTTGATTACTTTGTTTATTCTTGTTTTCCCCATACTGGGGTTCAAGAATACATACAGGATTTACTGTCAATACAAACCAGCGATAACAAAAAGGAGAACTGCAATGCAACTTTAAGTGAGCTAGAAATCTAACAAACACCAAGAAATCGACCACAACAATCAGAGAAGTTCTCACCCATGGCTGTCAAAAGATGTCTCATTTCTGCAGCGCTGATGTAGCCTTGGCCTTCCCTGTCATAGGATTTGAAGGCTTCCACAAAGTCTCTGAAAGTCCCCCATTCCTTGACGTTCTTTGTCTGTTTGTAGATGGCCAGGAATTCTTCAAATGAGTATTGCTTCTCTCCTGGAAGAAATGTCAGCCAAAACAATGCGTAAAATTTCATAATTTATCCGAAGTACTTTATGTCTGCCTACCTATTTTTTTAAAATGCCCACCTGTCCTTTCCTTTACCTAAGTACCTACGTATTTATTTACCTATCTACATGACTGCATACCTGTCTATCTAACCACCTTGCGCCCCCCTTCCCACACACACACACACAGACGAAAATAGGACCCACAATGATTTTTAGAATACTGGTAATATTGGCCTAGTTCTGTTTGTGAGCCCTGGTTGTGACTGTCAGCACACAGATGGATTTTAGTTGTCTGTTGGAAATGACTGACTGACGCTTCATTCCCCGCAGGACATTCCACCAGGGCATCCCACCAGGGCATCCCACCAGGACATCCCACCAGGGCATCCCACCAGGACATCCATTTGACCCATTTGTTGGGTTACATTAGGGCCCCTGGCAACAGCCCGGTGAAAAAACAAAGGGGAAAAAAAGGGGTGGGGGGTCTGTAAGATAAGGAACAATTGCGTTCCACATGAGATAGACGTTAACCATCACAGACAGGCCTTTTGTAGAGCCTCACTCTACCCACAATCTATCTTAATCTTCTTCTTCTTTGCGTTCACCAGCTGTAAACTCTGGTGGAAAGCTCTAGTTGTTCATCCACTTTTGAACTGTAGTCCTGTTTCCGAACCTGAGCGTTGCGTGTGCATCCGTTTGACATATCTGACTCATTTGTATGCAGACTGCTGGTTCCTTGTCCCTCAGGCAGGTGCATGCTGTCTTTGTAGGAACTCCCAATTAGTCGAATCGTACGACATGCTTTTGGGTAGGCAGAGGGTCTATTCTTGTTTTCCCTATAATAGGGCCCCTGAACCCACACGGGGAATCTGTGTCAATGATATCCTGTACCCATCTCAGTGCTGGTGGGTCCATGCCACTCTTTCCATGTGCCTGATTTAGTCAAAATATTTCATTTTCAGAGACAAGATGCTGTTTACTAGCCAAACTTCCTTGATGTTCTGATCTTTTAAAACGTCAGTATTTCTTTTCTTCTTTGTTGATGGTATTCTGATAACATTTCTACAGCCCAAAATTGTTCCGCTCAAAAACTTTCTTTTCTTCCTTACGGACTAATACAATAAAGGTTTAAAAAAAAAAAAGTAAAGTCAGGAGATGTGAACCAGCGTCATTGCACACGGTTATAAAGAATAAGTGCTCTGCTACTGGTATGGACAGCTAATGAGAAACTGTCCGCCTGTTTCGCAGTCCAGAATGCAACTCCGTAGCTACAGCGACGTTTCTTCATTTACCTCAGAGAGTTAACTCTGGTACCCATTTCCTAGAGGCTGGGTGAACCCCGGGACCCACCCGGTTTCGAAAACCGTCTGTGGGCTGCAGTGAATCGCAGCTGGATGTGAAAGTGAGTCCCCTATCGACTGCGCTAAAGACAATAAGGACAAAGACACCAGGAGACAGGTTAACTGCAGTTTGTAAGAGAACGGGTGCAGCGTGTTTGAAATTCATTGCAGTCAAACTTCTTCTTGTGTTGCCTATACCATGTGGCGGTGGTAGTCATGTCTGTCCACACCCGTCTCTCTCAAGGGTGCTGCGTGTTCACGAGGCATGGTGTCTGCCTTGAGTGCTAGAGGTTCCGAGTTTAATCTCCGGTAAGGGCTAGGATTTATCACGTGGACTTTGACTTCTAGTAATTCCCCCTGGTCTCTGGGTATTGAGATCGGACGCCCTGATTTACTGAGGATTAATTAATAGTACCCTTGTTTTTATCCCACCGAGATTCTGGCAGGTTCCAAACAACATGTCACAAATACCTGGTCTGTCTGTGCCACCCCAGGACTTCACCAGTGCCAATGTTGGGTTGAGCTCGACGCATCTCAGTAGGTCACCGACTTTGACAGCATCAATCAAACCATCTCTTCCGTCCCAGAAATCAAACAGATCGAAAACCTCGCGGACCTCTGCAAGGGAAACAAAAAGACAATATAAGTAAGTTACCTTGTAGAGACACGTCAAAGAGAACAACACAAAAAGCCAGCGTTCTATGACTACTAGCAGCATGACGATGGAGTTGATGGCGGTGAAACAAGGTTTCATGTGGCTGGAAAAACATAACTATTCCCTTGTGTGTGCGTGTGTTAAGCGATTGTGTGAGCAAAATCCCACGAGTCGAATAAGGCTCTGTACGCAGACACGGATTGAGACATTGCGAAACTTCACTTTGCGTGGAGTTCCCTTTATGTTTGTCTCAATTTTGTTATCAATGAAACAGCTGATAAACTGTCACATTCTGCCTTAGTTCTTAGCTGCAGACTGCTAGTCTATAAATCGAGCTGACACGGGTAATGCCCCGAGCAAGATAGGAAGATCGGAGGACTTTATGAGTAGGGTGTCCATATCACTGGTATGAATGCGAGAAATGGATTAATCCATCCATCGGTCTATTTATGAAAACAAAACGTCATGTATCCACATTCGCGGTTCGCCTCTGCCTCTTTATCCAGATACTGACCTTCGGGCACATAGTCCCCCGATCGTTGTATCTTGTTAAGGGCATTGCTATGAAAGCACAGAGATCCGACGAACTGGCTAGAAAAAGAAAGACTTTCAGGTGTGTTTTTTGGGAGAGCTTTGTTCTGTAAAGAATATCTTTTTTGAATGATTGTTTGAAAGCGGAGTGACTTTCCACAATGCCACCATGTCCCTCGCGGTAACTGATGTCCGGATGGTTCATCGGCATTTGCAGACGATTCACTGGCACTCCTTTCCTTTTCAAAAAAGAATTTATTCAGCGTTGTGTGTGTGTGTGTGTGTGCGTGTGTGTGTGTGTGTGTGTGTGTGTGTGTGTGTGTGTGTGTGTGTGTGTGTGTGTAATGTTCCGAAAGTGTCCAAACATACTGTCATCAAATGATTTATATCCTAATTAACTATAACAATGTTTGGGTCCTATTTTGTCATGAAAATCTGCATTTTTGCATGTGGACAGCCATTAACTTGAAATCGGCCCATCAACCCCCCCCCCCCCCCCCCCCACACCACCACCACCACCACTCTCCTTCACCCCCCCCCCTTTTTTTTTTTTTTTAAAAAGACGCACGCCACGATGGAGGAAGGAGGAATATTGACTCTCGGGCGAATATCAATCAAAAATTGTAATGAGAGGACGAATTTCAAAAAAAAAAAAAAAAACTAATACTGCTGTCGACGAAAATAGGACTTTCAATGAAAACGCAAATAGCACAACAAAGTAACCCAGATCTGGCAAATAGGAAAACGCAGATGACCCAGACCGAAATTCCGGCACCGCGTGTGGAGACATACCTGGTTGCTACTGCGCAATTTTCAGAAGATAAACGAAAACTGACAGCAAGTTAAATTAAATGTTTTCCATTTATGAATATCAGCTCTTGCCAGATTCTTCTCTCTCTCTCTCTCTCTCTCTCTCTCTCTCTCTCTCTCTCTCTCTCTCTCTCTCTCTCTCTCTCTCTCTCTCTCTCTCTCTCTCTCTCTTTCTCTCTCTTCCTCTCTCTCCCTCTCTCTCTCCTTCTCTCTCCCTCTCTCCCTCTCAATCCCTCTCTCTCTGCCTCTCTCTCTTTCTCTCCCTCTCTCTCTCCCTCTCTCTCTCCTTCTCTCCCTCTCCCCCTCTCTCTCTTTCTCTCTCTCCCTCTCTCTCTCTCCTCTCTCTCTCTCCTCTCTCTCTCTCTCTCTTTCTCTCTCTCCCTCTCTCTCTCTCCTCTCTCTTTTCCTCTCTCTCTCCCTCTCACTTCCTCTCTCTCCCTCTCTCTCCCTCTCTTTCTCCCTCTCTCTCTCTCCTTCTCTCTCTCCCTCTCTCTCCCTCTCTCTCCCTCTCTCCGTCTCTCTCTCTATCTCTCTCTCCCTCTCTGCCTCTCTCTGCCTCTCTCCCCCTCTCTCTCTTCCTCCCCGCTCTCTCCCTCTGTCTCTATCCCCCCTCTCTCTCTCCCTCTCTCTCTCTCTCCCTCTCTCCCTCTCTCTGACTCTCTGCTCTCTCTGCTTTGTGCCCTGTCTCTTCTTTCTTACACTGTTTTCTCTTTCTGCATCTTCTTATCGTCCAGCGGCTGTAAACTCCGATGGAGATGCACATTCTGGTTGTTCGTCCACTTCCTAGCTTTAGTCCTGTTCCAGAACTTGAGTCGTGCGTACACATCCGTTTTACACATCTGTTTTATTTAACGCATGCTGTTGTTCTCTCGCCCCTGAGGCAGACGCACTCCAACTCGGAGGTACATTCCTTAATTTTATTTGGGAGTCACACTTTTGAATTTCCCGCATCAAAACTGTAGCGAATACCCACACTTGTACTACTAAATGGCAGTCTTATCTGAGACGGCTTGGTGTCCAGTCGTCTCCACTACCCTATAATGTGCATACGTATACCATCTGGGTATAAAACGTTACATAAATATTTACGCCTTAAATGTGAGATGGAACCAATAATCTGCCGATGTTATGTTCTGGCCAGAAAAGCAAAGTAGGTGCGTTTATTTTCAGCGCTATCAAGACGAATATCGCAATGCAAGGTTAAATTAATGGCATTTTTCAGGCTAGACATTTATAGTTTACCGACGGTGCGCGTGCTGAAACCTAGCTTGCATGGCCAGCATTCAGCGGCGTGTCGGTGGAAGATGAGTCACTTGCCTCCCCAGAATCGTGTAGCAGCATCGCCTAGACTTTCCTGCCGTCAGTCTGAGCACGTAGATAGCAGGCTTGGTCCGTATGTCCGGTTATCCTACATTCCGACTCCCATAAAGAAGATTATTTCAGTTGACCTCGGCTTCCAGGTAGGTCCAGTCTAAAATGGATATTAGGAGAGGTCATGGACAGTCAAGACCACCTGCAAATGCGCCAGAACCTAAAGGCTTCAGCCCCTTGAGACAGCCCCCCCCCCCCTCACCAACCATTTAAGAGGGTGTAGCGGGGGTGGGGGGGGGAGGGGATGGATGTCCGACCCCTCCCAATAATTGTGTGAGAGGAATAAGGACACTAATAAACAATGAAGGATCCTTTTACACGCCTTCTGGCGTATTGGGCATATAGTTCTAGACCCTATATTTGATAGCACTAGCTTGTTGATGTGGTCAATATCACGCTGACCGTCTTTACTGCCCAGGACTTTACCCGGTATCCATTTAAGGCTGGGTCGTCCTCGTTGTCACGGTCATTTTTGAAAACAAAGTAAAGCTCCCACGACCCTCGGATGAGCAGGTGAGACTGTCACTAAGGCATCTTCCATTTGGAATAATATTAATATTATACTTTAAACATAGGCGTCGGAATATGGTGTGTTCTAGTGTTTTCTCTGTGTCGCCGGGCCTGGTGGCCGATAATATTGATATTATCACAAACTGAATGCCGATTTGCCAGTCCATACAAACACTGGATTAGCATTGTGCTGATCTAGCTTCAGGTCGTTAAAATTGAACCCTTGCTGAAGATAGTTGACAAGCATTCTTCTTCTTCTTCTTTCCTCTACTCCTGAAATGCCTCGCAGCTTCAGGACAGGAAGAGATCTCTGCAATGGGCCTTTTTGTTTGCTTCGTACATAGTCTTTTTTCAGTGACTGGTATTTCTGAGTTCATCTTCAGCTTGGTCGACCCCCGGTCCGTCACAAATATATCTGTATAATACTGCTTTCTGTAGTGCCCTACCTGATGCCAACCTTGTTACATGACTGAACTATTTGATCTGATCACAGACAAGGAATCTCAGAAGAACTGGGATGTGTCTGGGTTGAATGAGTGAGCCCATATTTGCGACGTGGGTAAAGGATGGTTGGCAGAAGTTCTTAAATACAGCACAATTCCTTCACATAAATTCCTATAAGTGAAGTAAATTAATCTTTTCTACGCTCATAGACTTAACTGCTGTAGGTATAGTCCTAGATCTATAAGTGAGATCAACCGGCACAGATGGGGGGGGGGGGGGGGGGGGGGGAGGGGGGGGGGGGGGGTGTGGTCTATAATACGCTGAGCGCCTTTACTTTCCATGTTTTTACCTCGTCCCTTTTTAAGGATAAGTCAACCTGAAAGCCAGGGTCATTTCTAAAGACAGAAAAAACATCAGCTCGATGCGGGTTTGAACCCGCGACCTACAGGCCCGCTGGCGAGTCTTTAACCGCTACACCTGTAATAATATTATTTCGTCCTCTTCCCGGGTAAAATTTTCAGTTTATCTTGTCAGTTATAAATGTGCGTTGTCTTGAAATACATTTTGAATGCTGATAATCCTGTACACCAGTTCCCACCCAACACCCCCCCCCCCTCCCCCACCGCCTCTCCCCCCCCCCTCCCAACCAATCTCATCAGGTCGCAGAGTACATGTCTAAGCCACTCATTTTTGGCGTAGTTAACAACCTTAGCCAATATACTTAGCACAAAGATACCAGACGACAATTATAGCCGAAATTGCTCCCAGTAAGTTGAACATGATCAATTTTTATGTGTTTTCTTTTCGGAAATAGATGGATGGATGGATGGATGGATGGATGGATGGATGGATGGATGGATGGATGGATGGATGGATGGATGGATGGATGGATGGATAAATGAATGGGTAGCTGTGTGGATGAATGGATGGATAAATGAATGGGTAGCTGTGTGAATGAATGCATGGAAAGACATTTACAGAACTACACATTCTCTTAGTTCTGCATTTGTGGCAATATTACGAGCCTACTGCTCGGGAATATGACATTCGGTAAGTCCGTCAGAACTTCTTCCCTCTTTGAATCAGTTTCATAAAGTAATTTCAACTCAATCACAAAGCATTTTGGGACAGATGGAGACAAGTATGCTCCGTGCAGAGTGGCAAGCATTGTTTCAGAGGTTACGGGCGCTTACTATCTTATATATATATATATATATATATATTGTCATTCAGGCGGCTTAAAGACGAACATGTAGATAGACTGGCGGTTCTTCAGCACTCAAAGGTGCATTGATTCATGAAAAGCTAGATATTGTAAAGGGCCCTTTGGGGGAAAGTAAACAGTGCCGGGCAATACATGAATTATCCCCGTCTAAGGAAAATGGCGTTGCAAGGATCTGGCCGACCCTCAAAACTTGAGGACAATGGCGGTGCAAGGATCTGCCGACCCTCAAAACTTGAGGACAATAGAGATGCAAGGATCTGGCCGACCCTCAAAACTTGAGGACAATGGCGATGCAAGGATCTGGCCGACCCTCAAAACTTGAGGACAATGGCGATGCAAGATCTGGCCGACCCTCAAAACTTGAGGACAATGGCGATGCAAGGATCTGGCCGACCCTCAAAACTTGAGGACAATGGCGATGTTGGATCTGGCCGACCCTCAAAACTTGAGGACAATAGAGATGCAAGGATCTGGCCGACCCTCAAAACTCGAGGACAATAGAGACGCAAGGATCTGGCCGACCCTCACAACTTGAGGACAATAGAGACGCAAGGATCTGGCCGACCCTCAAAACTTGAGGACAATAGAGATGCAAGGATCTGGCCGACCCTCAAAACTTGAGGACAATAGAGATACAAGGATCTGGCCGACCCTCAAAACTCGAGGACAATAGAGATGCAAGGATCTGGCCGACTCTCAAAACTTGAGGACAATGGCGAGGTGGATGTAAAACCGGTCAATTACTGGTGCTATCGGAATGGGAACTGCTGCTGAAAACTGGGACAGAGCGGTTATGGAAATGTTCTGAGCGCTGTCATTTCATTTCTTAATTCAACATCCAACTCTGTATCAGTTTCACGATACTGATGCCCCGAGCTTTCCGTTGTTATCTAATATTTGTTTACAACAATCAGCATCACATGAACCGCTTTTACTTCCCTGGACATTTCCTGGTGTTTCTATTTTGGGCTGGATCGACCTGGGACCAATGTATATTTTGTGTGTAAAAAAAAATTTCTGTATGGGTGTCGAGTGGATCCAAGATCTTGGGGCTGCAAGTAAACGTTAGAGAAACTCTACAGTAGCACCATGTGTCTCAGGTCAAGGTCGCTAGAAGAGCAACAAAATAGAAGAAGGGCTTTCTTTTTGTCGGTACGCAACTGTACGCAGTACTGGCACACTTTTAGGCATGATTTGTTTCACCACTAACGTTGACGACACTTTCTGGTGAGTAAAGGCGCCTTGTTTAGACATTCTGTGATGAGTAACAATTTGTTGTCCAGGAAAACAAAAGCCCTGTGTGGACTCAGGTGGCATGACTCCTATAAGGGTATCAATCTGCAGTGGACACCAACAGCAAACATCTGCTCAGAGGAGACAAGAGTTCGTCGGGAGAAATGTTAGAAGTGTGGACGCTACCGTGATAGATACCAGGGTGAGCACGGGCCCCTTTTTTTCTTCCCTGAGCAGAACTTTATATCTTCCTCAAAACCCGAAGCCGGAAAAGACGAAGTCAAGAAGCCAAGGTCTTTCAAAGCTAAGCTAACTAATAATAAACCCCGCCGACAGCAGTGACAGTTGAAAGATAAGTCTCAAAGCCGTACCAGCAGACACCGCCATAGCCCCAGCTGCGCATTCCGTCCCCCGAGCTCCAAATTTTAACATGTTGGAAGACGAAAACGAGATTTGCTGTAAACATCCACATATTTACGCATTTTAAACATGTTTCCCCGGTTAAAGCGCAATCCTTGGAAGTTATCAAGTCGTTTGCCTTGAGCTCCGAAGGACGTGGGTTCGTTTCAGAATTCGGTTCACTAGCGCAATTTTTTTTTTTTTTACAGAGAACCCTAGGGATCGTCATCAAAGTTACAAAGTTCGTACTTTGTGCGACGCTCTCGTAAGGTGGAAAATTTGTTCTCAGAGAGAATCCGAGCTATATGGGATAAAACAGGATGCAATGAAGTCGAGACTCTTGACTTTGATTGTAACTATACTGTTCGAAAAAAAAAAACCTTATCGGATGGCGCGTTTTTATTAGTTTGTAAATAAAATATTGTATTTGGGTGTCTGAAAAGCAGACTCAAATGTTGTTTCGCGTGTTCAGTGGACATGTGGGCGTGAATTGCCTGGGTTGTTGAAATCGTTACAACACAGGGATCAGTTGTATTTATCACCAAGTTTGTGAGCATAACTCATGATGCACGCATGAGAAAGCAACGCAAATTTGGGGTGAATACTATTCACTGCCTATGCAATTGAAACCCTATAAAAGGATAACGCTACACCAAAACATTCACTTCATGTTCAAGCAGTCCCGAATAGGGCCTCAATCGATAAATTTAATGAATACTGTCACTGGCCAATTGTAGGCATGAGAAAGTAAAAGTCAGGCTGCCAGGCATCTAAACGTGCACCAGAGTACCATCAGTCGACTTTGGAACCGGTTACAAGCCACTGGTTCAGTTGAAGACCGACATCGCAGTGGACGACCCAGAATGACAACAGCAGCGGAGATTCGCTTTATTCACAGAGGGCAGGAATGGATCGACACGAGCACTCACAACAGCAGTTTCCATCAGGTCATTATCACGTTAGGAAGAGAATGTAAAGAGTGGTGTAACAGTATGGCAGAATTAGAGGTGCAACAACTGATAGATGGAAAGGCTGGACTAGATGATGCAGTAGTGTACACCGATGGTTCTGTTCAACGGGGTGTAAGATCTGGCTGGGGGTTTTCAGACAGAATGAAGGGAAAAAATGTGGCAGAAATACAGGGAGCTTTTTTTTCTACAACTTCAAGCATGAGAATGGAGGTGGAGGCAATCACTGCAGCTCTGAAGTAGATATAAAAAAATAAAAAATGTTACCGGGGGAATTATTGTATCTGGTTCTCAGTCGGCATTGCGGAAGGCTCAAAATGGACTAATGTGGCATACGTGGAAACTATGCATCAGTACGCTAACATTGCAGGGTATCACGTGGATATACTGTCCGTGTCGTGCAGGAGTGCGAGGAAAGGAAAGAGCGGATTATCTGGCTACAAAAGCGAGAGCTACGGGAACACTCGTATTGGATAAGGGAGGTCTTTCTGAAGACCATTTATGAAAGACTTTTGGCAGAAGCCAAGAGATTAGATTAAATAACGTGGGCAAGAAAGTGTGAACTAGGAATTAAGCGTGTATCCGGCAAAGAGGGACAGTTAGCTTCTACACCTTACATCATTTACTGCTAGAGACGGAGCATCTATGGGTATGCAAGGTGTGCTATGATGTCGATTCTTAAATCAGTAATCCGTAATCAGGATCCGAGCATTTATGGACTTGTCCGATTAGCAGTGAGGATAATCTGTCGATTAACTAACTAATGTTACCATTTTATACGGAATGTAACTATTTTATACGGAATGTAACCATTTTATACGGAATGTAACCATTTTATAGGGAATATAACTATTTTATACGGAATGTAACTATTTTATATGGAATGTAACTATTTTATACAGAATGTAACTATTTTATACGGAATGTAACTATTTTTATACGGAATGTAACCATTTTATACGGAATGTAACCATTTTATACGGAATGTAACCATTTTATACGGAATGTAACCATTTTATACGGAATGTAACCATTTTATAGGGAATATAACTATTTTATACGGAATGTAACTATTTTATATGGAATGTAACTATTTTATACAGAATGTTACTATTTTATACAGAATGTAACTATTTTTATACAGAATGTAACCATTTTATACGGAATGTAACCATTTTATACGGAATGTAACCATTTTATAGGGAATATAACTATTTTATACGGAATGTAACTATTTTATATGGAATGTAACTTTTTTTACAGAATGTAACTATTTTATACGGAATGTAACTATTTTTATACGGAATGTAACTATTTTATATGGAATGTAACTGTTTTGTACGGAATGTAACTATTTTATACGGAATGTAACTATTTTAAACGGAATGTAACTATTTTATACGGAATGTAACTATTTTATACGGAATGTAACTATTTTATACGGAATATAACTATTTTATACAGAATGAAACTATTTTTATACGGAATGTAACTATTTTTATACGGAATGTAACTATTTTATATGGAATGTAACTATTTTATACGGAATGTAACTATTTTGTACGGAATGTAACTATTTTATACGGAATGTAACTATTTTAAACGAAATGTAACTATTTTATACGGAATGTAACTATTTTAAACGAAATGTAACTATTTTATACGGAATGTAACTATTTTATACGGAATGTAACTATTTTATACGGAATGTAACTATTTTATACGGAATGTAACTATTTTATACGGAATGTAACCATTTTATACGGAATGTAACTATTTTATACGGAATGTAACTATTTTATACGGAATGTAACTATTTTATACGGAATGTAACTATTTTATACGGAATGTAACTATTTTATACGGAATATAACTATTTTATACGCAATGTAACTATTTTAAACGGAATGTAACTATTTTATACGAAATGTAACTATTTTATACGGAATATAACTATTTAAAAAGGAATGTAACTATTTTTATACGGAATGTAACTATTTTATACGGAATGTAACTATTTTATACGGAATGTAACTATTTTATACGGAATGTAACTATTTTATACGGAATGTAACTATTTTATACGGAATGTAACCATTTTATACGGAATGTAACTATTTTATACGGAATGTAACTATTTTGTACGGTTACCAGTGTTTCTGGGATTCGCTTGTGATTGTCATCCTTGAGGTGTCAATCCAATGAACAGCGAGGCTTGAGTGGAACAAGGACATGTCAGTAACAACAACATCGAGCTTACTTACCTTCCAACTCTTCTCTTGTCAGTTCTGACATTGTTGGCTGTTGTGTTTAGGTTCTTCCCTGGAAGTCATAAAACAACAGAGTACTTTACAGTCAAGTAATGGTTTTTCTGTTTACATATCCTCTGTCTATGAATGTTTATAAATTCCCTAACATAATTAAACAATTATATTATGCAGTGAAATTACGAATTGTAGAATGTGCACAAAACGGACAAGTCAGCCGACACCACTGCTAAGCATTTAACACTGAATTCGGTCTATTTCGCACACACTTTCGTACAAAATGTCTTTCTAGCAGTTGAATAGGCTTCTTTATTCATTTCTCTTGCTTCCTGCCTCCTCCCTCGTAGGTCCCTTTTATGTTGTTTGTGTGTCTGCATATATATATATATATATAGGTCCATATAAAGATGTATGCAAGCAGGACATGAATGGTACAAGTATTAGGATGGGTTCAAGAATACAGGATGTCATAGTGGTGGAGGCAGGTGGTTGAGGGGGGAGGAGGGGAGGGGTGTCAAGAGTGGAGTATGTATACGGGAGAAAATGACTGGCGAAAAAGGATGTTAAAAAAGAAAACATACAATGGCAACAGAGTCGAGACACAAGTGTATGAGGACTGATGTGTATGATGATGTTGTATCTCCATCTACTCCTCACTCGATTTCAACTGTTCAGCCAGGTATGGTTTTCATAAATTTATAAACAGTAGTCGAGAATATCACGTGTCTCTGTTTTTATTGCTTTCAGCAACTATGTGTTCCTAGTCTCCAGAATCTCTGTATTTTATTGTCTGTTTCTGTGGAAGACTATTACCTATTCTTCTTTTTTATTTTCCTGCTCCCATCATACGGTTTTACATTATTGCATGCATAAAATTGAAGAAAACGTGTTATTTGTTCTAGTATCTACCAGTTAATAATGATATTCATTATGGTGTCTCTTTGCCATTGAAATTAAACAGGTGTGGTTGTGTGTAAGTCTGTGTGTTTTCCTGCGTGCTTGCGAGTGTGCATTTGTGTAATATACTTTGTAGACTGCTCATTTTTTACTCGAACCAAGAGTTTAAATTACCGAACTCTTATTGCAAATAATTAAAATAAAAACAAAACCGTTGATCTGTCATCATTATTGAGTATACCGCACTCGCTCATACACTTGTACAATAACGCACGTACACACAGTCACTCACATATATAAAAACACACTCACATATGAAGGATGATAAAAACACAAACTACTTATGTGAAAAGTTACAAAATGGTCAGAGAAAATCCTTACCTCACCACAGGAGCACAGGGCGGCCAATAAACAAATATCCCGTGTGAGAAAACAGACACAGCAGTTTCTCCAGGAAGCGAAGTTGCTATGGCAATGGCTGGAAGCTACTAGTCCGGTTACTTATAGGGCGGTATCGATGCGTAATTGTTTTGAGATAACCGGACAAGCATCTGTATTTTAAGAAAGTTCAAGGTGGGGTGATAGAGAGAGGAGGAGAGAGTGTGTGTGTGTGTGTGTGTGTGTGTGTGTGTGTGTGTGTGTGCGTGTGTGTGTATGTGTGTGTGTGTCTGTGTGAGTGAGTAGATAAGATATAGAGCAAAGGAGGGGAGAAAACAAGATAGATGCGGATGTTTTCAGATACGAAGTGTTTTAACTCTTGTAGGGAAGCCTGTTGCTGTGTTTACAACTAAGGGTCGGTGAGGGAAGCCCCAGAATGATTCGCACTTTCTATGATGGCTTCATAGATTTTATTTTGTCGTCTATGTTTGTTGTTGTTTTGTTAGCGTTTCTTTCTTGGCGCTGTTCAAAGCAGATACTGACAATAACGACTCACCGATCGTATTTGAGACATCTTTATTATTATTATTATTATTATTATTATTATTATTATTATTATTATTATTATTATTATTATTATTATTATTATTATTATTATTATTATTATTATTATTATTATATCACACAGATTAATTTTACGCCAACAGACGTGCGCATAAACACAACAATAATATGCTTCTTAAAATAGCATCTACTCAGCAACACGCTTACACTAACAACATAACCACCTCCTCTGTACTCACACAGACACCCACCCACTACTGCATATACAGAAAACTCTCTCACACAGACACCCACCCACTCCTGCATATACAGACAACTTTCTCACACAGACACCCACCCACTACTGCATATACAGACAACTCTCTCACACAGACACCCACCCACTCCTGCATATACAGACAACTCTCTCACACAGACAACCACCAACTCCTGCATATACAGACAACTCTCTCACACAGACACCCACCCACTACTGCATATACAGAAAACTCTCTCACACAGACACCCACCCACTCCTGCATATACAGAAAACTCTCTCACACAGACACACATATGCACAAACACAGCAACACACCCATTACCCAAAGACACACTCCTACACACGCATCATCCAAAGACACACTCCCACACACCCATCACCCAAAGACACTCCTACACACCCATGCACACACAGACAAGCTTCCACACACCCAACTCACACTGACACACCCACCCACACCCAGGTACACTCCCCACATCCATCACACACGGACAAACTCTCACACAGCCATGAACACACAGACGCATCACTGCGCATTCTACATCTGCGTACCATCCTTCAGGTATTCCGCCCTAACTGGAGCCATTAACTACCGTTATATTCGAATATACCAGGGAATCAGCTCCACCCAATGCACACGACCCTCACCCCTCCCCCTTTAAAAAAACAACAGTACAAACAAAAATAACTGGTTATGAGTGTGTGGAAAATACTGTACGACCCCACAATAAAATTAACCAAATTAATAAAACTTAAATTAATAAAAGCAAATCTTCAGTGTGGTTTTAACATAAGAACAGTTGATAATGTCTTTTTTTTTTTACCTTCAGCAACCACTAACCGTCTTTGCCTTCCCGTTGTTTCCAAATTCTCTGTATTTTTTTTTATTTTTATTTGTACTTTTTATGTTGCGGCATCAATAGAGGAAACAATTGAGAAGATTGACTTTGTGTTGTGCCTCATACGCCGTGGTAATTTGTCTCCGCTATCAAATAGAAAGCCTTGTCACCGAAACGTCTTGAAGCAGATTTGAACCTTTGACCTCCGCCTCTGCAGGTGGGCTTTTCGTCGCGATGCTAGCTACATAAACTTCAACATTTCTTAACGCCCAGGTTGTGGTACTCAGGTTCCGAGACCCAGGTTGTGGTACTCAGGTTCTGAGACCCAGGTTGTGGTACTCAGGTTCCGAGATCTAGTTTGTGATACTTGGGTTCTGAGATCTAGTTTGTGATATTTAAGTTCTGAGACCCAGGTTGTGGTACTCAGGTTCCGAGATCTAGTTTGTGATACTTAGGTTATGAGACCCAGGTTGTGGTACTTAGGTTCCGAGATCTAGTTTGTGATACTTAGGTTCTGAGATCTAGTTTGTGATACTCGGGTTCTGAGATCTAGTTTGTGATACTTAGGTTCTGAGATCTAGTTTGTGATACTCGGGTTCTGAGATCTAGTTTGTGATACTCGGGTTCTGAGATCTAGTTTGTGATACTTAGGTTCTGAGACCCAGGTTGTGGTACTTAGGTTCCGAGATCTAGTTTGTGATACTTAGGTTCTGAGATCTAGTTTGTGATACTCGGGTTCTGAGATCTAGTTTGTGATACTTAGGTTCCGAGACCCAGGTTGTGGTACTTAGGTTCCGAGATCTAGTTTGTGATACTTAGGTTCTGAGATCTAGTTTGTGATACTCGGGTTCTGAGATCTAGTTTGTGATACTTAGGTTCTGAGACCCAGGTTGTGGTACTCAGGTACCAAGACCCAGGTTGTGGTACTCAGGTTCCGAGACCCAGGTTGTGGTACTCAGGTTCTGAGACCCAGGTTGAGGTACTCAGGTTCTGAGACCCAGGTTGTGGTACTCAGGTTACGAGACCCAGGTTGTGGTACTCAGGTTCCGAGACCCAGGTTGTGGTACTCAGGTTCCGAGACCCAGGTTGTGGTACTCAGGTTCCGAGACCCAGGTTGTGGTACTCAGGTTCTGAGACCCAGGTTGTGGTACTCAGGTTCTGAGACCCAGGTTGTGGTACTCAGGTTCCGAGACCCAGGTTGCACGGTAAAAGATACAGATTATTTTTTAGTCTGGGGTAAACATAAATATTATGGCCTGCACAGCTTATGTCAAATACACTGGCCATACCGCCTCGAACAACCCCAGGGGTACGACCCCCACCCCACCCCTCCCCGCGCTGTTCTACACCGTACTGGAAGTAATACACAGAAAAGATAGTTTTAAATACACATTAGCTACTTCCAATATAACAATTTCACCCGGTACCCATGACATCATTGTTCTCTCAGCGGCGCAGAAAACAATTCCACTCATCTATTTACAAGAAACCTAGAAAACAAAACATAGATTGTTGTTGTAGTGGAAACACTTGGCATCAATTTTGTGGAGTACTCTAGCTATTTACGTAGCCACAAGTTGCTATCGTTAAAGATTTCCAGCGTAAACAAATATTTGTTTATTTCAATGGTAGTTTCCTGACTGACATGCCGGAAGGGAGAACTTTTACGCGTAATTTATATTTTTCCAGCCTGTACTTTCTCTGCGAGTGCACTTTAACGGTTTCGGATAAGAGCAGAAACTGTGGCATTTGCACTGTTGCAGCCGATCTGCTGATTATTCTTCTTTCCTTCCATTTCGTTAATTTCTCCTCGTCGAGTCTTGCTTTTTCAACTCCAGCTTTTCTGTTTTCTTTCACCTTCTTCACTTCATTTTTCCCCCCGTTTTTTTTTTTTTTTTAATGTTTCATCAACAACACAGAAGGAGTTGGGAGGCAAACTCTGCTATGTGCCTTATACTCTATATCGTATGTGTTCACATATTCAGATGTATGGCATCTATCATGGAATCAAGACCAATAGTTCCAATATCCATAGTACCCAGGCAACAGGTTCACATTTCATGGTTTCTGGATTTTAGAAAAAAAAAAAAA